CTAATTTTTTAGGAATGTTCTAAGGTAGATACTTTATAGTACATGAATCTATAGTATTGAATGTCTTCTTTACTAAATAATTACATATGGAACAATCATCAGCAATAAGACGGTGTCTTTAAATTATCTTTTTAATGGTACTGTATTTATGTTTGTTAATCTATTTGCTCTGCCTTGTCTTCCTCTTGACCATGACACAAATGTTTAACCTAGCCACTCTTTGACAGGAGACTACAGAGTTTATCAGCCCAGATGTGCATTCAACCAGTGAATGTAGTCTAATGAGAATTTCGTCACACTTACCTCGCTAATTTCAAAAAGTTCATTAAATGTTGATGAATCACAGGTTGTTTGCTTTCACTTTTTTCCTTAATAAAAACTCTCTTAACATTGACTTTTCTCTAAAAAAAGAATATATGCCTGAAAAACCTTGTGTATGGTTTATGAAATTAACATTAGATTTATGATATGATATTTTATCAGATCTGAGGCATAATTGATTGGTATACTTTATGTACCACTAAGGAAGAAAAAAGATTGCCAATTAAACTGGAATTTGTCATCAGTTATAAGGCATTCCTATTTTAGATGTTTAAATGTGCAAAATGTGCATCTAGAATTGATGAAATATAGCAGATTAGCTTTCAGTGGAAATTTTGTTTTTATGTAGGGGATGATTTCATTTATTGCCTGGCTTTTCCATTACACATCTTAGTTATTAGAAACAGGACTTAAAAAAAAAAACCCTGGTGTGTGTGAAACAAATCTTATTGTCAAACAAAATATTCCTTTTTGTCTCCTTTTCTCTGTAAGCTCAGAAATAGAGAAAAAATTGAGATGTGAAGCTGTTATTTTGAACTTACTATGAAATATAAATTAAAGGAGTTACCGTCTCACCATCAGCATTTTGCTGTGGCCTTATTTATGATTCATGCGCTTTTCCTGAGATCAGTTCTAGAATATACTTGCTAAAAGAATGAAAAAGACAAGTGATAGATTGGATTAATAGCTGTTAAGACCATATGTGAAGGGCTATAAGCTTTCATAAGGCATACAGAAGAATTTCCAGAAGAGTTAGGGAAAAAAGTAGAAATGTAAAAGTAATGGAGGGAATTTCTGGGGATGGTTGTAGTCATGATTACAGGACATGGTAACCTGTGTATCTGCCAAAACTCTTCAAATTATATACCTAAAACCTGCATTTCATTGTGTGTAAGGTATACCTGAAAAGAGAGAATCCAAGAACAAAAGCAGTAAGTACATAATATAAAAATATCTGTTATCAATAAAAGTTACAATTTGAAAAAGCCAAGTGTGCTGTCAGAAAAAAGGAGACAAGTATATTTGATATACAGAGACAAGGAAATGGAAGAAAGAGATAATTGGGAATAACCTTAAATTGAAAGAATAAATAACAGCTATTCAAACGTAGAAATCCTGAAAGGTGTGTTACCAAATTGATAATGCAACAGTTAAAATAAATCTGAAAATTTAAATGTACATATAGATATAAAATCTGGCAACAGTGTTTTATATAATCATTAAAAAGAAAATATTAGCAGTTGAGATGAAGTTTTCACAGATTGTAAAGGCAAATACACCTTGAAAGTCTAGACTAGGGTTCCCAAGTACAATTTTTTTTTTTTAATTTTTTTTTTTTTTAATGTTTTATTTATTTCTAGGAGAGAGAGAGAGACAGCGTGAGCAGGGGAGGGTCAGAGAGAGAGGGAGTCACAGACTGAAACAGGCTCCAGGCTCTGAGCTGGCAGTCAGCACAGAGCCCGACGCGGGGCTCGAACCCACGAACGGCGAGATCATGACCCAAGCGAAAGTCGGACGCTTAACCGACTAAGCCACCCAGGCGCCCCCCAAGTACAATTTTTAAGGCTTTTTCCCTGAAGATTGTTTTGATAAATCTGTGATCGGGCCTGGGGTTCTGCATTTTTAATAAGCACCCACGTTGATGCTTACCAGTTGCATTTGGGAAATGCTTGATGAGGCAGAGAAAACATAAGAAATGGAGAAAAGCCAAGATTATATTCTGAAAATCATAATGATAGACTTATGAGTTTCCTGTGGCTAGTCTAACAAATTACTACAAATCTGATGGCTGAATATAACAGAAATGTATTCTCTCACAGTTCTGTAGTACAGAAATCCAAAAACAGGATCAGTGAGCTGAAATCAAGGTGTCAGCAGGGCCACACTCCCTGGGATTCTGGGGAAGAATTTGTTACTTGTCCCTCTGGTTTCTGATGGCTGCCAGCAAACCTTGGCTTGTGGTTGGATCACTCTAATGTCTGCATCCATAGTCCTGTTGCCCTCCCTTTTGTCTGTCTAATCTCCTTCCACCTCTTCTAAGGATACCTGTAACTGCATTTAAGACCCACTTGGATAATCCAGGATAATCTCCCCATCTCAGGATCCTTAATTTAATCACACCTCCAGAGCCCTTTTTTTGCTGTGTAAAGTAACGTCCACAGGTTCCAGATACTTGGCTGTGGATGTTCTATGGGGAGCCATTATTCAGTCTACCACAATAAACACCTTAAAAGTGTCCTGATTGTGAGTAAAGAGAAAAAAGGAAACGTTTTTTTTTCTTTTAATGCTTATTTATTTATTTGAGAGAGAAACCCCACGCAGGCTTCACACTGTCAGCACAGAACCCATTGTGGGGCTCAGTACCACAAACCACAAAATCATGACCCGAGCAGAAATCGAGGCACTTGACTGACTAAGCCACCCAGGTCTCCCTCAAGGCAACTTTTAATTTCATTTCTTTTATCAGACAATGGGCTACATGTAGCATTGAGTACAATTACAAATTTTTAAACATTTTAAAATAATGTATGTAAGTTTATAGTATAAACTTTAAAAACTTTATACGATAGGGGCGCCTGGGTGGCTTAGTCAGTTAAGTGTCCGACTTTCGCTTAGGTCATGATCTCGCGGTTCGTGGGTTTGAGCCCCGCGTTGGGCTCTGTGCTGACTGCCAGCTCAGAGCCTGGAGCCTGTTTCAGTCTGTGACTCCCTCTCTCTCTGACCCTCCCCTGCTCACACTGTTTCTCTCTCTCTCTCTCAGAAACAAAACATTAATAAAATAAAATAAAACAATTTGAAATGCTAATGACTACATTAGATTCCTAAAGTAAGACCTGGGTTTTACAACTACAGTATTTGAAGCAGGCTAGGTGGCTAATTAGACCTTAAATATTTCCTGTCTTTGCACCTGGCTAAGAATTTATTTTCATCTTTCAGTGTGTTTGATTTTTTTATAGGTCTCCAAATTAGTCAAACATTTTAGAATGTATATTTGCTTAAAGGGGAAGAAAATAGATGAAATTTAAGAATTATCAACAGAATTATGGCTAAGAATTATAAATAGAGGGGTGCCTGGCTGCCTCAGTGAGAGCATGTGACTCTTGATCTTGGAATTGTGAGGTTGAGCCCCATGTTGGTGATAGTGTTTACTTTTTTAAAAAAACAGGGGTGCCTGGGTGGCTCAGTCGGTTAAGATTTTAGTTCAGGTCATGATCTCACAGTTCATGAGGTCAAGCCCTGTGTCAGGCTCCTCCCCCACTCAAGTGCACACGGGCTCTCAAAATAAATAAACTTAAGAATTATAAGTAGAGGGGCGCCTGGGTGGCTTAGTCGGTTAAGCGTCTGACTTTCGCTTAGGTCATGATCTCACAGTTCGTAGGTTCGAGCCCCGCGTTGGGCTCTGTGCTGACTTTCAGCTCAGAGCCTGGAGCCTGTTTCGGAGTCTGTGACTCCTTCTCTCTCTGACCCTCTCCTGCTCACGCTGTCTCTCTCTCTCTCTCCTAGAAATAAATAAAACACAAAAAAAAATTAAAAAAGAATTGTAAGTAGAGAGGTCTTCTCATAGACAAGTAAATGGAAGCACTAAATAGAGAACATAGTCAATCACTTTAATATATTAAACTTGTAGAGTAAAATGTGAGATTTAATTCCTGTCACGGGAGGTAGTTATTGAGTATTATGTTGCCATTTTTTTAGCACTACAAATATGTTATATGTAATATATTTAACTATATTTAATAGTTTCATTGTAAATTCCTGAACTGAAATAAGCAATAGAGTTAAAATTATTAGCCTTTTCATTATTTTTCTTGTTCTTAAAGGTAGATACTTTCCTTAACTTTAGAACATTTGAACTTTAATGGACCATCTTCTTGGAAAATAGCTTTTTTTTATGTATTTATTTCTTTCAAACAAAAGGTCTTGCATATTTATTACTGAATCACCTTACTGGCATAGAAGCATAGTAAGAGAAATCATTTTCCTAGTAAAACATGTCTATTGTTGAGTTGGTAGTGATGTTTACAGAGTGATAGAATACAAATATGTGACCTTAATGCAGCCTAAGTATGTTGCCATCTCATGTGCTATCCCTTCTAGGCCAGCTTGGTTCTTCTCCAGGGCCTCCTTGGAGTTGTACCTGATTTTATTACATTTTCATCCTAGTTCACTGGGGAATGGAACGGTTCTGCTTTTGTTTCTTGGCCATGTTTCAAGCATGATTCTGAAAGTCTTGTGAGAAGACCCAAATCAGAGTATATTAATGTGCAGAGATGGGATTCAGATCCAGGTCATCCAAACTGTGAGGCAAGGGTATCCTCCAGACTTCCCTGCTGCCACCCATCGTGAAGAACAGTTAACTTCATGCACCACAATGGCAGAGAAGAGGAAAGAGAAAATGCTTTACTTTTTAAGTGAAGTTATAATGAATAATGGTTAGCACATTGACTCATACAAAGCCTAGTTGAATAGTATAGAATGAAAATTGATTAAGGTAATAACATACCCAAAGAACCTGCGCTCCAAAACATATATGTAGTTTAAATGAACTTGAGTACATTTTAGATTTAAGATTTTTTTATTTTTGTTTTGTTTTGCTTTTGCATTATCTTAATGTCTGAAAAAGAGTGAGATTCTATAAACGCCCACAGAATTTTCACTAAGGTATTATCTTTTTCTAGCTTAAAGCAATAAATGTAGATCTTCAAAATGATGCTGCTCTGCAAGTGGACATTTCTGATGCTCTGAGTGAGAGAGATAAAGTAAAATTCACTGTTCACACAAAGGTAAATGTGATTTTGTACTTGTGCTATTTTTAACTATCGTGCAGATGTTAATATGTGACAGTATAGTGACTGGAACTTTGGTTTTGAACATTTTTAAAAACATTTTTAAGTTTATTTATTTATTTAGAGAGAGGGCACTCCTGAGTGAGGGAGGGGCAGAGAAAGAGGGAGAGAGAGAATCCCAAGCAGGCTTCGTGCATGCAGGGCTCCATCCCACAAATTGTGAGATCATGACCTGAGCCAAAACCAAGAGTTGGACACTTAACCAACTGAGCCATCCAGGTGCCCCAGGGAAATGTATTTTTTATTTTAATGCACTCTTTAAAGATTAACATTTAAGAACTAATCACAAAACCTAGGTGTAATGCAAACTTCATTTTCTCTAGACTTCTATTAATATCTTTCATCATTCTTGTTTTCTTATTTCAGTTAATTACTGTCTTAAAATTATTTTCTTCTTAGATTTCAGTTCTCAGGCATATTTTCAGATTGTAGATCTATTTTCCTTTGAGTAGTTGAGTTTGATATATATTAATAAGATAACTTTTAAGTAATGGTAGCAGTAGAATATAAGAGGCTATCAACTTCTTTTCTCAAAGATCCCAGAGAAATTTGTCTGGTGTCTCAGAGTTTTCATAATCGAGTTTAAAAGTACTGATAATCTGGGGCGCCCGAGTGGCTCAGTCAGTTGAGAATCCAACTTCGGCTCAGGTCATTATGTCACAGTTCGTGGATTTAAGCCCTGTGTCGGGCTCTGTGCTGACAGCTCAGAGCCTGGAGCCTGCTTCAGATTCTGTGTGTCCCTCTCTCTTTGCCCCTCCCCTGCTCAAGATCTGTCTCTCTCTGTCTCTCAAAAATAAATAAATGTTAAAAACAAAACAAAACAAAATTTCAAAGTGCTGATAATCATATGAGATTAACTTACAAAAATAAGATAAAAATGTTTATTAAAAGCCTTTTAGTGTAATTTTGATTTTTATTCAAGAGAATCTCTGTCTTTGCAGAGTTCATTGCCAAATTTTAAACAAAATGAGTTTTCTGTTGTTCGACAACATGAGGAATTTATCTGGCTTCATGATTCCTTCGTCGAAAATGAAGACTATGCGGGTTATATTGTGAGTATTGGGGTTCTGTTTTCTTTTTTTATTTTTTCTAAGTCAAAGGAGGAAAAAAATATTATTATTTTTTACAGATAGTTTATTGTCAACTTGGTTTCCATATAACACCCAGTGCTCATCCCCACAAGTGCCCTCCTCCATGCCCATCTCTCCCCTCCCCCCTCCACACCCATCAGTCCTCAGTTTGTTCTCATGGGGTTCCATTTTCATGCCATTTTCTAGGAGTTTTTTAGGTACTTTATTGTGTGTTAAATTCTTATTGAACTGGTGTAATGTTTTAAAATTGCCAGTTACAAAACACAATGGACTATCACCTTTTATCTTGAATTGCCTAGTTTGAGAGTGTGGACCTATAGCTATGTTATGCTCCTTCATTTAAATTTATTTATTTACTTATTTATGTTTTATTTATTTCTGAGAGAGAGAGACAGAGACAGCGTGAGCAAGGAAGGGTCAGAGAGAGAGGGAGACACAGAATCTGAAGAAGGCTCCGGGCTCTGAATTGCTGTCAGCACAGAGGCCGACACAGGGCTCAAACCCACCAACCGTGAGATCATGACCTGAACCCAAGTCGGATGCTTAACCAACTGAGCCACCCAGGCGCCTGCTCCTTCATTTAAATTTAAATTCTTATTGTTTACTGGAAGTGAAATGGGTTTTTCCTAGGGATTAATTAAGGGGAGGTTACAAACCATAATGGTTTTAAACACTTAGGAAGACAAATACTTAAGAGTTTTTTTAAGGAAGGTACCTTAAGAAGTTCTCTAAACTAAGTATGCACTAGATGGGGCGCCGGGTGGCTCAGCCAGTTAAACGTCCGACTTCGGCTCAGGTCATGATCTCACCGTTTGTGGGTTCCAGCCCCGTGTCGGACTCTGTGCTGACAGCTCAGAGCCTGGAGCCTGCTTTGGATTCTGTGTCTCCCTTTCTCTCTGACCCTCCCCTGCTTACGCTGTCTCTCTCTCTCTCACAAATAAATAAAAACATAAAAAAAAAGTATGCACCAGATGTTGTGCCTCAGCCATTGTCCAGACTCAGATTCCTGAAATTTAGTTTCATTTTATATTCTTGAAATTATCCTGACTTGATTCTTTCTCCATCCTTGTGGCTACTCCTTCTCTGTCATTTGCTTTTTGTTTGTGTAAGTCAAAATTTGGTTGACAACTGGCCGTACATATTTTTTCTTTATTTCTTAAAAAAATTACCAGTTTATGTAAGGGATACAACTCAGAAATAGCCAAAAGGAAGAGATGCATAGGACAAGGTACGGGGAGGGGGGTTGGGGCAGAACTTGCATGGCCTCTCTAGGTGTACCACCTTCCACCTTCACAGTGTGTACACCAAACTGGAAATTCCTTCTTCTTTTCCCATCTTATTTCCACCTTTTCTTCCTCATCTTGTCTAATGGCATTTTCTTACTACAACCTCCTTCTATAGACTAAACACTCCCCAAAGACCAAGACCATCTTTGCTTGTTTTTTTAAGAATTTTTTATTGTACTATATGTTAACTAATGTGGATGTAAAGTTTGAAAAATAGTTAAAATGATAATTAAAAAATAAAGAATTACATGTAAAAAAATTTTTTATTATTTTAGCTAGCAGGAATGGGGAAGAGGGACAGAGAGAGAGAGAGACAGAATCTTAAACAGGGTCTATGTTCAGCACAGAGCCTGACACAGGGCTTGACCCCATCACACTGGGATCATGACCTGAGCCAAAATCAAGAGCCTGATGCTCAACCAACCGAGTCACTCAGGCATGCCAGGATTTTATTTATTTATTTATTTACTTACTTACTAACTTATATTTTGGAGAGAGCGCAGGTGGGGGAGGGGCAGGGAGAGAGGGACAGAGGAATTGAAGCAGGCTCTGTGCTGACAGGGTGACAGCAGTGAGTCCGATTTGGGGCTCAAACTCATGAACCTTGAGATCCTGATCTGAGCCAAATTTGGACACTCAAGCAACTAAGCCACCCAGGTGCCCCTCTTTATTTATTTTTAGTGTTTATTTATTTTGAGAGAGAGAGAACATATGCACGAGAAGGGGAAGGGCAGGGAGAGAAGAATCTTAAGCCAGCTTCATGCTCAGGAGCCCAACGAGGGGCTCAGTCTCACAGCTGCAAGATCACAATCTGAGCCAGTATCAAGAGTCAGATACTTGACTGAGCCAGCCAGGCCCACTCCCTCCAAGATTTTATTTTTAAGTGATCTCTATACCCAGCATGGGGCTTAAACTCACAACCCCAAGATTGAGAGTCGCATACTCTACCAACTGAGTCAGCCAGGCACCCCAAGACCATGTCTTATTTATCTTTATATGCACATTGTTCAGCATCAAGCCTGGTGCATAGTAGATGTGAGTGTGTGCTCAGCTGTACTTGATGGCTTCCTTCCCTATTCCTTTCCTCAAGCATAACCCTTTTCTTGTATTCATTCTTTAACTTTTCCCCTACTTTTCTTTCTCTTCTAGCTTTCTTTGCTTCCCATAATTTTCCCTTCACAATTCTTATTTGTAAGCCATTCCTTTTAAGATAAACTTTTTTTGGGCCGCCTGGGTGGCTCAGTTGGTTAAACGTCTGACTTCAGCTCAGGTCATGGTCTCACGGTTCGTGGGTTTGAGCCCCTCATCGGGCTCTGTGCTGACAGCTAGCTCAGAGCCTGGAGCCTGTCTTCAGATTCTGGGACTCCCTCTCTCTCTGACTCTCCCCTGCTCACGCTGTCTCTCTCTCTCTCTCAAAAATAAATAAAACATTAAAAAAATTAATTCTTTAAAAAAAAAAAGATAAACTTTTGTTCTTCTATCGTTCCCTTGAAAGATATGTCTCTTCTAGATCTTATATTTTTACTTAAGATAAGTACTTACTGGGGCGCCTGGGTGGCTTAGTTGGTTAAGCGTCCGACTTTCGCTTAGGTCATGATCTCGCAGTTCGTGGGTTCGAGCCCCGCGTCGGGCTCTGTGCTGACTGCCAGCTCAGAGCCTGGAGCCTGTTTCAGTCTGTGACTCCCTCTCTCTCTGACCCTCCCCTGCTCACACTGTCTCTCTCTCTCTCTCCTAGAAATAAATAAAAAACATTAAAAAAAAAAATTTACTTATGCCCTTATTGTGAGTGAATTGAATAGAATGAGGTTAGTCATTAATCTCTGTCTTGTTCTCTTGGTTTTAAGTCCGTGCTCTATGTTTCTGGTACACTCCTCCAATTCAAGAACCCATTTTAACATCCCTTGCTGGATTGTACTATTGGCATCCATGAATTTAAGAAACATGGAATAGCATAAAGCTACTATGAATTCATTAATTTAAATATATATATTTGTATTTGATCAAACCTTTTACATACTTCTGAAAATTGGTATGCATATTCACTTAGCATATAGTCAGAGCTTAATGTGTTTATACATTTGAGGACTTTAAGTTGCCATGTAGGAATCTGCAGATTAAAGGTTGGGAGCTACTGTTCTAATCCTAGAAAATAGTACTCTGCCGTATTTCTTCCTTGGTGCAAAGGACCTTATCAAATTTTCTAACCTGAATTGGGATGTTCCTGGTGCCATGTTCCTTCAGGATATCTTTAGCTCTCCCAGACAGTCTTTTATGGTGGCAGTAGTACAGCTGCTGTGAAAAATAAAACAGTCTTTAAAATTAGTGATTTGGTTTTCTTACAGATCCCACCAGCACCACCAAGACCTGATTTTGATGCTTCAAGGGAAAAACTACAGAAGCTTGGAGAAGGAGAAGGGTCCATGACAAAAGAAGAATTCACAAAGATGAAACAGGAACTGGAAGCGTATGTGATTTTTGTTGTTGCTTTTGTTAATTGTGCTTGTTTTAATGCCTTTTTTCTGTGCTCTCTGATATCCCATCCTTTTAATCATTTCACCACAGTGACCCTTTCCTAAAAATGCAGGTTTAAGTCAAACAACCAGTTTTAATGATCATGATCAGAGCCTACAGGAAAATTATAGAATAATTGTCTGCATTGTAAAATTCTTTAAATTAATGTTTTAAATAGACTCTGAAAATTGAAAATGGAGGATTCAAAACTTTATTTAAACATAGTAGAAAGGGAAATAAGACTTTTTGAAGCAGAATATAAGTTATTTTGGTTTTTATCTATAAGGCCTTAGTCATTGCCAACCTGGTTTTCTTTTTTTAATATGTGCATACTACCCAAACTTCTGTTTTCTAGTTCTCATAAAAACATGCACTGAGCAACTCTGCACATATTCTATTTTCTTTTTAAAAAAGACTGTGTGTGTTTGTGTGTGTGTGTGCGCGTGCGCACATGTGTGGCTGTCTGGTTGGCTATATCTGTGTGTTTAATTTTTTTAATTAAAAAATTTAATTTTCTTTTCTTTCTTTCTGCCTATGACTTCTGGCCAAGGGGAAAAGAATAGGAGCAAAGTAACAAGAGAATAGTGTTAAAATGTTTTTAATTAAATGATTATTAGTTTCACATACACTAGAAATGTATTAAATCTTTGAAAAAACTGGAATAACTTCTATTTTGTGTTTAACATATTTGCTGAAAATACAGAATCTTTCCCTTATTAGACATTTGAAGTAATTTTAGCTTTACAGTATATTGTTTTCTGTATTTTGAGAGCTGTACACGGAAACACTTTCCCTTGTATCATCATCATTTCCATCACTCTTTTTCTGATCATTTCTCCTCTTCATGCATTTCCTTTTCTCCTCTTCCACTTCGTGTCAGTTTTTAAGCATATATCCACCTGGCTACTAGACTCCTCTTCAGAATGCTAAACTCGTTTGACAAGATAAATTAGCAAAGTAGATCTTTTTTGTCAAAATGTAAGGTGACAGATATTTTAAGATTTCTGTCCATGCTGGGTGCAAGCAATAGTCTGAGAGCAGACAGAGATACATACTTTTATAGTTATAAGACTGAAAACTGGAAATTAGCAGAGCACATTAATATTAAAGAATCTGTGGTTTTCCAGTGGCCCTGATCATGATTCTTTTGTGGTCTGGTTAGGGGTTGGATAACAGAGAACCTTGGGTTTATTCTACTGCTACCTCCATCCTCTGCATCCTTCTTTTTTGTCTTCACTGAATGACTACCCTCACAGAGATCAAACTTCTCCCAACATTGGTCCTGCTGGTTTGCTGGTATGTAAAATTTATCCTCCTTGCACGTAGTTGAAGCAAGAATATTGGGCCTTTTCCTTGAGTGTTTCTTTTTTCAAACTGACATATATTACTATATGATCACTGTGATTTACTGAGGATATTAAAATATTTTAAACACAAGTTTCCAATGTAATGACAAAAATTAGGCTCTCTGTGGTGTGCTTTTTTCTTGTGTGTTTGGATCATTAGATGAAAATAATTATTAATGTCGAAAATATGCTTACTGAAGTTTGTTTAGATTTTTTTTCTTTGTACAGAGGTATTCAAAAGTAGTAATTATCTCGAACTTGAGCCATAAAGATTGTATCAAATAATTTGTAGTTGTACTTTCTCTGGAGCCGAAAACAAACACCCCTGTGGTTACCTTTAACATCAACTTGGATAGGAAGAAAGGTTCATAAAACTTAAAACTATTAACATTTAAATATAATAAATATTATTAACTAGCATGAAGTCTTTTCAGAGCTGGATTTTATACATTTTATTAACAGTTCAACTAAAACCTTTGTTTACATGGATTATATCTTTGTATCTTTAATTTTGCATTTAGAATAATTTAGAGTATTTGTTGAAAACTGTTGCAGGTGATTTTCTAGTTGATGCAGTGTTTTACCTTTGATTTTGTGTATTGTTTCTAGTGAATATTTGGCAATATTCAAGAAGACTGTTGCAATGCATGAAGTGTTTCTATGTCGTGTGGCAGCACATCCTATTTTGAGAAAAGATTTAAATTTCCATGTCTTCTTGGAATATAATCAAGATGTGAGTATTGATTAAAGCAGTAATCAAGGTTTATTTTTAGAGTCACTGGAAAAGGCAGGGAGTAGTTAGAAAAGACCCTTTTTTTTGTAATGTTCTTGTTTTTCAAGCCAGTGTAAAATGATATTTTATTTAGTGGTAATAGGGTATTTCAATACAACTTGAGAAGAAATGAAGAAATGAGGCTAAATCATGTTACTACATGGGACGTTGATTTTCATCCTGAATTGTGAACCTCTTAAGAAATAGGGTTGTCAGTTTGATTGTTTCTTAAATTTGAGTTTGAAGTCTCGTGAAATTCCAGGGAGGTACTTGAGCTAAAGAATTCTAGATTACTTTTGGGTTAATCATTGCCTTTTGATCTGTTTAACTGACCTTTTTCAGTGCCAGTTGCTCCTAATCTTCCTCCTTCCCTGCCTGAAAGCTCTGTTACAGTGCAAATGGAAAAACTGATGCGATTGAGCCTTAAGGATTTCTTCATTCATAGTAGTACTGGCAAAAAAAATTTTAATGGATAGGTGATACAGATATTGGGATTTATATTTGAGTGACAAGATTAACTCATAATTTTAGCAGAAAACAAATGTAGCATAGTACTTATTTGCTTACAAGTCAACATCAAGGTCAAAGAATTTTATGTATATAAGTTTGCTCTTCTGGTTTGGTTTTAGTAGACATGACAATAAAGTGTCTTAAATCTAGTAGTAGAGAGAACACATTTTTTTAAAGGGTATGAAGTAATTCAAGATCCCAGAAATAACATTTTAAGCCTGGGTACTTTCACAAATGTAAACATAGTATTTGATACTGGCATATGGTTGTTTACAATTAGGAATTGTAAAAAATGCTAGCTTATATCATGAATTATAAGAAGCTGAAAATAACTCATGACTGGGTTGCCAAAGAACACATGATGAATGCTGTCATCACTTTTGTACTTTTATTCGTTTGTTTTTGCTTAACCTTATTCATGGCCTTGGCCAAAACTTTAATAATAATTGGTAGAGCAGCATAGGCATACAGTGAGGCATGGTATTATCAGTGCAAGGCCACTTTAGCTAGAGGAGCCTCATGCTCCATGTACTCTGTCCCATTGCCAAATCCCTAAGAACTATCTGAAATAACATATCTGTATTTAAAATTTTTTTAATGTTTTTTTATTTATTTCTGAGAGAAAGAGAGAGAGAGACAGCCAGCGTGAGCAGGGGAGGGTCAGAGAGAGAAGGAGAGACAGAATCCAAAGCAGGCTCCAGGCTCCGAGCTAGCTGTCAGCACAGAGCCTGACGCGGGGCTTGAACCCACGAACCGTAAGATCATGACCTGAGCCGAAGTCGGATGCTCAGCCGACTGAGCCACCCAGGCTCCCCTATATATCTGTATTTTAAAGTTTTGTGTATTTATTATCTGTCTCCCTCTACTAAAATGTAACCTCTCTGAAAATAAGGCTTTAATTTTTTACCATTGTATCCTCACTGCTTTAGAATAGTGGCTGACAATTAAGATGTAAAATAAGTATTTGTTAAAATGATAAGTGAAAGATTATTGAAGGTTTTTCAGTTGGGTGGTAGGTTTTTTAACTTTTTTTTTTTACCTTTACTGGTTTTTTTTTTTTTCCCCCTTTTTTTAATTTAAATTTTATAGTTAACATACAGTGCAGTATTGGGTTCAGGAGTAGAATTCAGTGATTCATCACTCACATACAACACCCAAAGCTCATCCCAGCAAGTGCCCTCCTTAGTATACCCATCACCCTTCTAGCCCATCTCCCATCCACCTCCCTTTTTCAACCCATAGTTTGTTCTCTATCATTAAGAGTCTCTTGTGGTTTGTTTCCATCTCTTCTTTCCCACCTCTTCCCATATGTTCATCTGTTTTGTTTCTTACATTCCACATAGAAATGAAATCATAAGGGATTTGTCTTTCTCTGGTTGACTTATTTCACTAAATATATTCTAGCTCCATCCGCATCATTGCAAATTGCCAGATTTTATTTCTTTTTGATGGCTGAGTAATATTCCATTGTATATATGTACCACATCTTCTTTATCCATTCATCAGTTGATGGACATTTGGGCTCTCTCCATAGTTTGGCTATTTTCAGTAATACTATAAACATTGGGGTGCATGTACCCCTTCAAATCTTTTTTTTTTGTGTTTTTGTATCCTTTGGGTAAATACCTAATAGTGCCATTGCTGGATTATAGGGTAGTTCTGTTTTTAGTTTCTTGAGGGACTGTTCTGCTGAGTGGCTGCACCAGTTTGCATTCCTACCAACAGTGCAAGAGAGTTCCCCTTTCTCTGCATCCTTGCCAACACTTGCGGTTTCTTGTATTGTTAATTTTAGCCATTCTGACAGGTGTGAAGTAGTATCTCATCATGGTTTTGATTTGTATTTCCCTGATGATGAGTGATGGTGAGCATCCTTTATATGTCTCTAAGGCATCTGGATGTCTTCTTTGGAAAAGTCTGTTCATGTCTTTCCATTTCTTCTCTGGATTATTTGTTTTTTGGGTGTTGAGTTTGGTAAGTTCTTTATGGATTATGGATACTAAGCCTGTATCTGATATGTCATTTGCAGATAACCTTCTCCCATCCTGTAGGTTGCCTTTTAGTTTTGTTGGTTGTTTCCTTTGCTTTGCAGGAGCCTTTTAATTATTGTTAAAAGAGAGAGAGAAAACGCAAACAGGGAAGGGGCAGAGAGAGAAGGGGAGAGCAAATCCCAAGCAGGCTCCACACTCAGTTTAGAGCCCCATGCAGGGCTCGATCTGACCATGAGGTTAGGACCCGAGCTGAAATCAAGAGTCCGACACTTAACCAACTGAGCCATGTAGGTCCCTCAGAAGCTTTTTATTTAATGAATTCCCAACACTTCATGTTTGCTTTTGTTTCACTTGCTTTGGCGATGTGTCTAGTAAGAAGTTGCCCTGGCCACGGTCACAGAGGTTGCTGCCTGTGTTCTCTTCTAGGATTTTAAAGGTTTCTTATCACACGTTTAGGTCTTTCATCTGTTTTGAATTTATTTTTGTGTTTGGTGTAAGAAAGTGGTCCAGTTTCATTCTTCTGCATGTGGCTGTCCAGTTTTTGCAACACCATTTGTTGAAGAGATTGCCTTTTTTTCCATTGGATTTCTTTCCTGCTTTGTCGAAGATTAGTTGACCATATAGTTGTGGGTCCATTTCTTGGTTTTCTGTTATGTTCCATTGATCTATGTGTCTGTTTCTGTGCCAGTATCATACTGTCTTGATGACTACAGCTTTGTAATATAGTTTGAAATCTGGAATCATGAGGCCTCCAGTTTTTTCTATTTTGGATTGCTTTGGCTATTCAGGGTCTTTTGTGGTTTCATACAAATTTTAGGATTGTTTGTTCTAGCTCTGAGGAAAATGCTTGGTGGTATTTTGATAGAGATTGCATTAAATGTGTAGATTGCTTTGTGTAGTATCAGCATTTTAACCATGTTTGGTTTTCCAGTCCATGAGCATGGAATGCTCTTCCATTTGTTAGTGCCCTCAGATCTTTTACCTCTTTAATTAGGTTTATTCCTAAGTATCTTGTTTTTGGTGCAATTGCAGATGGAATCAATTCCTTGATTTCTTTTTCTGCTGCTTTGTTACTGATGCAACAGATTTCTCCACATTGATTTTATATCCTGTGACTTTGCTGAATTCATGTATTAGTTCTGGCAATTTTTGGTGGAGTCTTTCAGATTTTCTATATAGAGTATCATGTAAAAGTTTGACTTCCTCCTTGCTGGTTTGGGTGCCTTTTATTTCTTTTTGTTGTCTGATTGCAGAGGTTAAGACTTCCAGTAATGTGTTACATAGTAATGGTGAGAGTGGGTATCCTTGTGTTGTTCCTTACTAGAAGGGAAAGGCTCTCAGTTTTTCCCCATTGAGAATGATATTTATTAACTGTGGGTCTTTCATATATCGTTATGATGTTGAGGTATATTCCATCTATCCCTACTTTGTTGAGGGTTTTTATTTAAGAATGGATGCTGTATTTTGTCAAATGGATTATTGATTGTTTAGATCAGCTTTGGAAAAATCTTAGGGTTTCATAAATTTTCTTCCATTAACATAGATTTATTTTTCTTCCTCCGGAACTAATATTTGCTTAATAGAGATCATGATGTCATGCATTATAATAACTCTTTTAGTATCAGCACATGGCATTTTAGAGAAAGTATAAAAAGACAGGAAAGTGTTTTGCAAATATTCTTTAATCATTAATTAATAGCAAGTATATTAACAGGTTATAGAAGATTATAGGCCCTAGCGCATAATCTGGGTGGCTTAGTTGTTTAAGTAAGATCTGCTCAGGGAGCCTGGGTGGCTTAGTCGGTTAAGCGTCCGACTTACGCTTAGGTCATGATCTCGCGGTTCGTGGGTTCGAGCCCCGCGTCGGGCTCTGTGCTGACTGCCAGCTCAGAGCCTGGAGCCTGTTTCAGTCTGTGACTCCCTCTCTCTCTGACCCTCCCCTGCTCACTCTGTCTCTCTCTCTCTCCTAGAAGTAAATTAAAAACATTAAAAAAAAAAAAAAAAAAAGTAAGATCTGCTCATGATCTCATAGTTTATGAGTTTAAGCCCAGGATCTGGCTCTCTGATATCAGTGCAGAGCCTGCTTCAGCTCCTCTGTCCCCCTCTCTCTCTGCTCCTTCTCTGCTTTTGCTCTTTTCCTCTTTCAAAAATAAACATTAAAAAAAAGAAGGGGCACCTGAGTGGCTCAGTCAGTTAGGTGTGTGACTTCAGCTCAGGTCATGGTCTCACAGTCTGTGAGTTTGAGCCCTGTGTCAGGCTCTGGCTGACATCTCAGAGCCTGGAGCCTGCTTCAGATTCTGTGTCTCCCTCTCTCTCTGCTCCTCCCTCACTCACACCCTGTCTCTCTCTCTCTCTTAAAAGTAAATAAACGTTAAAAATTTAAAAGAAAAAAAAAAGAAGAAGAGGGTCACCTGGGTCGCACATTTGGTTAAGCATTTGACTCAATTTCAGCTCAGGTCATGA